CCCGCCTCTCCCTGCCGCCCCGTCCTCCCTCCTTCGCCCAGTCCCATCCCTCCCCCTCTATTTCGCTTTTAAACTGCAGCTGTAGAAGCTAAACCTCCTTTGCAAAACCAGCATTTCCTCCCACATGGCCGTGAATTGTGGGTAACGTAGTTTTTTTTAGAAACGTCGTCTTTCTTTTTTTTTCTTTTTTCTTTTTTTTTTTTTTTATAATTTAACTGCAGTGTATTTTCTCTTGGGTTTTCAGATTAAGATTTTCTTCTCCCAGCTGGAGCTTGGTTGGTAGATTCGGTAAAGGGACGGTCTCCTTAGCTGCAAAGCCTGTGGCCCTGGGCTAGCTGGGCTGTGATTCAGGCAACCAGAAACGCCAAGCTCTCCATAGCAGCAGAGGGTCTAAGGAGCAGCTGGAATAGAGAAGTGTCTGAGGCAGCAATGGGGAAGCTGTAAACTGCTGTTACAGATGGTTTTAGGAGGAACGCTGCCGGCTGGTCCTGCTGACCGTCGGCCAGCTGAGGATCGGGGTTTCAGGAGCTGAGCTCCAGGTGAGGTGCCTGTGCCCGGCTTTTCGGTGATAGCTGCTGTACGTCGGGCGTTACGCAGGGCTCTGGGTGTGCGTGTCCTCCGTGACTTGCTTCTAAATAGGAAACTGGGGGAACTTGAGAGGTAAAAATTGCTTTGCCGGTGCCACTTGCGGTATGGTACAGCAGTGCAGAGCTAAGTAAATGTCTCTTTAGTCCTTCCCATCCTGCACCCACAGAGGCTCGATTAGCTCACGCAGTGCCTGGCGTTCCTCAACACCGCGTGCTTGCTGTCTGCCCTCCGGCGGGTAGGAGAGACCGGAGCTGCTGGGTGATCCCAGCAAGGGAATGCCAGGGGAGGCAGATTTGCTCCTTTCTACCCCCTTGGCAAGGAGTGGAAAAAACATGGGATATTGAGATGTTTTTCTTCTGTGTGTTTCTCAAAGCATTGGCTAAGTATTGATTTTAAACTTCCTAATCTCTGTGAAGGGTGCAATCATAGTCAGTAGCCCTGCAACAGATATAAAACCTGAGAACGCGCTCAAGTTTGCGAGCAAGCAACTTACTACCACGTAGTACAAGAAAGAATGAAATGAGCATCTCTGAATGAAATATCCAGTTGCTTCGGCAGCCTCCAGAAGGTGCTGAAATCCTTTGACATTTCCAAGACTCTTTCACACTTTTCAAACAAGCTTGTCACAGTTTCTCCGGAGCATTATGAATCCAGTGAAACTGCATATTCTGCAACTCCAGTCTCACTGAGGCTTTAGCCAGGTCTTGCTTCAGCTTGGCTGTCTCTGGTGTTCTGGTCAACTATGAAATTGCATTATCTCATTCTAATTAAATCAGCTTTTCATCTTCAGCTGGAGTTTTCCTTGGGTTTTGGTCGTGCCTGCCTCCGTCGTGCTGCTGTGAATGATTAAGGCATTAGCACACTCCACCCCAGAGTGGCTGCGCTAAGCTGCGCAGAACAGTTCCTGTGCCCGAGAGCGTGGTGCTCACTGATGGAATTGTTGGAGATGTGAGGCCAAGCTGTGATAAGTAAGAGTGAGGTGCGTCTGGTAATGCTGTGAGTTGCGTCTCCTTCTGCTGCTTATTTGATGCACTTGACCGTGTCTCTTCGTAGCACGGGCACACTCCGTTCCTGCTATTGCTCCCCCAGGCATCACGGCCCATGCTGTGCCTCCATGTCCTTCCAGCACAGTTTCCAGGTTTACTGAAAGCCAGGGTCTCCTCTTCACCGCCTGAGCAGCGGCAAATAAAACCAGCCCACCAGACGCTACGCTGCGCCGTGCTAATGGGCCTGACTGGCACTGCCACGTGTGCTGTAAATGCTGCAGAATATTATATTTTATTTTGACCAAGTATTTTTCACCTGTAGAGGAATCCCACCCTCCGGGAATGCTGCAGGTTTGCTTGCAAGCACTTTGGCTGTGAGCGCTGCTTCTTGGCCAGCTGCTGCCGGAGGCTGGGATGGAGCAAAGCTGCCAGTGACTTGTGGCAGAAGGGGATGTTGCTGTCCCTCCTGTCACACCCACATCTCCAGCGTGGCTGTGCCAGCAGCTGACGCCGTGCATGGCCATGGCTATGTGGGGAATGGTGGCCAGCAGCCCCCAACCCCGGGGGCTGCAGCACTGCAGGCAGGCAGGGGTGGGCAGGCAGGGGGGAGCACAGCCGGGGCCGAGCGGACACGATGCGTGGAGCGTGCCAGATTTGTCCGTCCGGATTTGTGTGTCTGGGTGTTCTCTGAGGCGCTCGATGACCCGTGTGGATCGGGTGTCAGGCCTGGAATAGCCCTGCTGCAGCAGGCAGCCTGTCTACAGGTTTAGCGGGGATATTTATAAACCCCTGGTTTTGTGGCTGGTTTGTGAGCAGACCGCATCTCCTCTAAGCTCACTGCGTCCCTTCCTCCGTGCATGCAGTGAGACAGGGCTCAGTATGGTCCTGGTGCAGGGATCCGGGACATTTCGCCCCTGAATTTGGTTTCTCTGTTGGTGACAGCCTGCCTGGCTGCAGGAGAGAGCAAATTGCTTTCCTTTCCCGCTGCATTTTGACAGGGGTTTGCTAGCCCTGCCTCTGTCCCCCACTGCCCTTCCTCCTTCGTCCCCTTCCCGCCGGGGACTCATGCTGGGGTGCGAGGCTGGATTCCCCCATGGAGGCTGGGGCAGCTCTGTGTGTAAGGCAGAGAAATTCCCCCATATCAGTGTCAGCATAAGAGATTAAAATAACTCCCAGGGCTTTCAAGGTATTTTTTTTCCCCAGTGACAGCTCCTGAGGAACACGCTCCGCAACAGCTCGGCATCCCCGGCACAGGGTGGGACAGGAGGGAGAGACGTGGCTCCCTATTTCTGCAGGCTCCTGGCCACCGGTGCTTTCGCCCTCTGCTCGCAGGCGTTTGCAAGGAGCCCCACACAGCAGCAGCCCTGCACGGAGCTGGAGAAACAGGGAGGCCAGCCAGTGGGGAGGTGACAGCCATAGCCAAGTCAAAGCAGTGACAACAGTTATCTGGCCGGCTGATGTCAGGTGGGATGAGATTTTCCACATGGCTCGGAGCCAGGCAGCGGGATGAGGGCAGGCAAGTAGGGATGGGGCGCTGGCTTCCCTGATAGCGTGGGAATGCCGCTGCGCAGCTGACGGTCGGGCGAGCTGGGGGGTGTCGGTGATGTGGCAGCGTCTGTGCACGCTCCCGGGCTGCCGCAGCCCCAAATGGTACCCGAGCTGAACGGGGCCGTGGTGTGGGGGCTGGATGAGGATGCCCGAGGAGCGGGCGAGCTCTCCCCCTAGCTAGGGTCATCACTGCAGAGTAGGGATGAATTCCTGGAGGGGGTGATTCAGAAATAAATTGGCGTGTATTATTTTCCTTTGATTCATCATGGAGGGGGGGAAATATGAGCAAAGCCTGGGGCGAGGGCTCCTCAGGACCTCTGGCGCTTGCGTGGCCAAGCACTGCCCTCGCCTCTGGCCAGTCTGTCTGAGTTGGGCACAGCCTGGATGCACATAGTTCGTCTAGAGGATTTTGAGATCTACAGATAAAATTCTGAAGGAAGTGCAAAATTTTTCTTATTACCTTAGAAAGCCAAGAACCACCTTTCATTTAGCACCTAAGCCCTCCAGTGCATTTTAGATGAGACTTTTAAAGATATCTGGGCCGGGGTGCCTGTACAAATACTGACCTCTGTCACTGGACATTTGTGTAGAATTGTCACTGGCACCAAGAGACGTGCCTGTTCTGCTCCTCGGTGCAATACTCATCTTCTCCACTTCTCTGCCCACGGGGAATTTCCAGCCTATTTGCATAGGAATAATCCTGTTTCTTGAGCGTGTGGGGGGTGTGGAGCCGTGACAGCCCCTTGCCCAGGGAAGGGAGCTTGGCGGTGGCAGCCAGGGCAGATCTGGCGCAGGTGGCTGCTGCAGCGGGCTGCTGTCCTTCGGGCAGGAGGAACAGCCATGGACAGGCTCTCCCAGTGGTGCCTGAGGCTTAGATCCACACAGCTGCGGTTCAGGGACTGTAGCGAGATCGTTCAGACCCGTGAAATGGAGCTGTGTGCGCAGACGGGATGTTCTCGTGGGGGCTCACCAGTACTGGTGATGGGCGGGTGGGAGATGTCCCAGAGAGGTGCACCCCAGCTGCAGTGGGGAGCAGGGAGGATGACGGCAGCCGTGCAGGGACGAAGCGATGGAGCACAACGCGCCGTGGCGGGAGGGATGGCAGATCTTCCCTGTCCTCTGCAGGAGGGTTCCCCAGGGCCTGGCATGAGCCTTCCTCCTCCCCGTCCCGCAACGCCCGCTCCCCTGGGGCCGGTACCTGTGCTGTGCTCACATCCGCAGCTCCGGGATGCGGGTGCTGCCTGTCACCCGCTTTCAGCATGGGTTCTGCGACGCTGGGTGACACGGCAGAAACACGTACAGTATTGAGGTCATGCTCAGCGCTGTGGGCAGGGGGATGGGAATTCGTTAGCAGCACCGTGTCTCTTTTAATCAAGAGGCAGGTGATGCTTCTCCTTGGGTCCGAGGACGAGGTGGGTGATGGAAGTCGCTGCAGGGGCACACCGTGAGCAGAGAGAGAAGACGGCGCTGGTGATGTTTGAAAGGTATCTGTACCAGGGAGAGGAAGGGGGTGTTTAGGGTGCCCTAGGAGGGGTGAGACGTTGCAGAACAGGCAAATTGAGAAGATACCTGGGGAGAGTCCCTTGGGGGGAAGCTCCCGAGCAATGCCTAGCCTTGGAGCTTGCAAAGTCAGGTGGCAGAGCCCACCTCAGGAGTGATACCAGCTGCCGTGGGGAGGGGGGGATGCCCTGATCTCCTCCGGCGCTGACTCTCGGATTCTGAAAATGTGACTTGTAGAGCAAAAAACTACATTTCCCAGTTTCCCTTGCAGCCCAGGGGAATAAGCAATTGGAAGATTTAAATAGACCAGGCCAGAAGCAACCTTTGGCACAACACTTTTCCCTCCTCTTCTTCCAATCTATTGGCTGTTTAACCTTTTTTCCTGGCACTGCAGGGGCTGCCAAGCCTGGCATTAATTTTCCTTCCAAGCTTGCTAGGCCCATGAAGTAAACAGCCATGTGCATTCCTTACTCTATATTTAACAGCTGCAGTCTGTGCTGGGGGCAACTGCAACAGAGGGGAACCTTTGTAGCTTCCCAAATTCACGACTTGTGAGGGTGGGAGTGGGGGAAGCTTTCTGCAGGGAGAAGAGGGATTTCTCTCCTTCACGGTATTTGCAAAGCAGGTTGCGTTAGGAAGAGACTGCAATGCCAGCATCCCAGCCACGGTCCAGGGCAAGAGACAGGAACAATGTCCTCAACAGGGCTGAGTTCCTCTCCCTCAATCAGCCCTTGAAAGGGAACCAGGAGAGCAGGAGCTCCGGCAGAAAGCAGAGCGGCCAGGCCGGGGCAGCCGGTGCCCAGCACAGCAACCCCAAGGAGCGGAGGCAGTCGCAGCAGCTGCCTGAAGAGGACTGCATGCAGCTCAACCCCTCCTTCAAGGGAATCGCCTTCAGCTCCCTGCTGGCCATTGACATCTGCATGTCCAAGAGGCTGGGAGTGTGTGCCAACAGAGCCTCCTCCTGGGGTGGTGCCCGCTCCATGATTAACCTCCTGGGGATAACGGGGCACGGCATCCCCTGGATTGCGGGTACGCTCATCTGCCTGGTGAAGAGCAGCACGCTGGCAGGCCAAGAGGTCCTCATGAACCTGCTGCTAGGTGAGTGGCAAACCTCTCTCCCCGCCGGGAAAGCCCAGCCCTGGTCACAAGGGGCAGCGGCACCGGGACTCCTCCTCTGACTGCTCCCAGCCACCGATGTGGTCAGGAAGCAGGGATTGACCTTTAGGGTGAATGCTGCACTTACTGGACGTCTCGGTCCTGGCTACCATGGGTGATGGATGTAGCGAAAAGTTGTCTAAGAGGGATGGGGTAATCCTCGTAGCTGGTGACACCCATGGAGTAGGGGCAGGTCCCCAGTCCTGCATGGGGCAGGGTTGTCCAATCAGACCAAGGAAGTGTCTATGATGTGCAGGTGGATACCAGCAGCGATGTCTTTTAATCCGTGGTCATCTGCCTTGGTGGTTTGATAGGTGGGCAGAACACAAAGATTTTAATCTTTGGTATCTGGATCAATTCCTGAGGATATCCTTGAGGAAAAAAAGATTTCCATCCCCTCACCACCTTCCTGAGCAGACCCTGGCTCCACATCTCAGCTGCCGCGTGATGGAGTCCTTCCCTGCTGTGCTTTGATCTCACATCTTCCTTCCCACGAGGACCTTCTTGCTGCTGTCCCCATTTCCATGCCCTAATTGACCCAGAGGCTGTGCAGATGGGCTGGGATCTCTCTGGCTCTCTTGCTAAGTCCTTTCATGCGCAGTGGTCAGTGTCCTTTTTTCTGGAAGTTGAGACGTGTTAAAGGAGTTGTCTTCTGAGTTGAGCAGGGCCCATCCCACCCATGTGGACTGATGGCCCGGGCTGAGCTTTAGGCATGACTTGCCTTAGATCCTGGCCTCAACCCACCCTGGCTGCTCTACCTGCGGACCTTGCTCTTCTCTCTTCTGCCTTTGGCATGGGGCTCAGTTATGGTATCTTTCCTTGTGACTAGTTACTGTCTCATCTGGCTGTGATCAGCCCTAGTGTTTCACCCTCCCCAGAAAAACAACGATTGCAGCTCCCACCTTTGATTGGTGAGAGAAATCAAAAACATTGGATTTAGGCCTTTGCCTCTCAGGGAGTCTTCTGGGGGGGCGTAGGGACATTTTATTTCAGAGGCACCTCAGGAAAGGGACGTCCTGTCTTCAGGGGCCGACTGTGATGCGATACGGGCTCTGTGTCATGGTCCCAGGTTCTTTTGGTTTTTTTTTTTTCACAAGTTCATCCTTCGGAGAGGGCGAAGATTGCGCCGAACTGGCTTGAAAAGCACAGTGGTAGCTGCCTTTTCTCCCCTCTGCCTTTGAAAGGGACTGTCCTCGTGCTGTGACATCTAATGAAGGGAGGCCATCGCGGGGAAGAAGCCAGAATAGCATCGGCGTGATGCAGAGCCCAGCGACGTCAGCAGTTCTTCCAGGGACTCCTCGGAGTGCTGGGTCAACCTCTCACTGAGAAAAGAAGCTCCATTTAAAAGGGCACGAGAATGAAATAGTAGGTGACTAACATCAGCTGGCACAGTTTCCAGATGTCTCTTGACCTGAGAGCCTTTGACAGTTTTGGAGCCTGAAAACTGACCTCTTTGACTCCAAAATATTTGAGATCCTTATAAAGAGCTAATGCCACCTTCGGCTTAAAAACAAGAAAGGTTTTCTTGCTTTTCTGTTGCCGTGTGAGGAGGCCAAATGCAAAGCCACTTCCGGGTCGCGTTGAAACTTTGAGTGGTCGCTGGGAGGGCTCAGCCCTGCACCACTACCTGGATCCCCAGGTCTCCTGAGCTCAAACGTGGTGCCTGGGGACAACTCAGGGGCCTTTTGAAGTCTTGCTTCCGTGCCTAGACACACTACTGCCATCCCTCTTCTCCGCCTGCCAAGAAAGAAAATAGTTAAATTGTGTGAAGGACTAGTTCACAACGTGACTTGACAGCTTGGTAGATCTGGTAGCCTCCAAAGAGCTCCCAGTAGGCAACACTGACTGGTGGGACTGAACAAGGCGTCCTGAGCCCCTCCTGTCAGAGCAGATCTCTGCTGCGAGCGTGGCCTTGGTTTGATATTTAAGATTGCAGTCAGGAACTCCAAACATCTGAGTAGCTCCTGCCGTAATACCTGCATTGCTGATGGAGGAAGGAGTCTGGCTGGGGAGCATGGGCTGGTGGACCTAGATAGATCCCATGGGGTCTCATGAGTAAATAGGAAGGGTATGGCACTACTGCTGCATCTGGCATCCTCAGTCCCTCTCGCTGCTGTTTTCCTGTGGATCAAATCCATCAGGATGTGGCATAAATGACCGGGTAGGGACAGGTCAAAGGGAAGGGAACCTCCTGGTGCTGCCCTGGTCTCCTGGGAAGAGGGAAGCAGGGAAGTCGGGGTTGTCTGTGGTACCCCTTCCTTACCTCCCCTGGCTCTCCTCCCTCCCGCCCCCGGCTTGCTGAGAGTTTGATACATCAAGCAGAATTTCTGATGCAGTCTCTGGGCAGGGAGCCAGCCCATCATAGAGCACTTGTTTAGGATTTGCAATCAGGCTTTCAAGGCGAGGAGACAGGAGACTGCTGAAATGGGACCAGGAGCCTGGCAGAAGCACCGCTGCAGATGGAGGGGGGGCACTTGCGCCTGAGGAGCTTTTGGCAGGAGCTTTGCCAACACACGCGGGAGCATTTAGGGTGAGGGGGTCTGACCCCGGGATGCTCCATCCATCCCAACTGCAGATGTTGATTAGCAACCCCAAGCAATGTTTTCCCTCTGTGTTTGTCATCTGTGATGGAATTTATTGATTCTCCTCGTCGTAATCTTTTCCGGCAAATGCCAACAGCCAGAGAAGCAAGCTCACAGCCTGTTACTGAAAAGATGGAAGAAATCAGGTATCTGTGCCCACTGTAAAAATCCCTCTGCCAGAATGTGCTTTCAGGAAGACTATCTCAGCATTGCCAGCCCTGGCTGTTGAAGAGTCAGGAAGAAAGTCTGCACTCCCCCGGCCAGATCAAGAAAATCATAACTGGGGAAACCCCCCAGTTTTAGAGTTCCTTTTATTTGTCTGCTGCTGTTGGAACTTTTAGGACCCTTCAAGATTTTCTCTGCAATCACAAGGATTTCATGAAAACTGAGGTGCTTAGAAAATCATTTGAACCTTGCAATTGGGCTTTCAGGGGGAAAACAGATACAAAACTTTCACTAAAATTCCCAGATCTGCTTCAGAACCAGGCAGAAACTCCATTAAACCCCGGGGGAAGCAGCACCTCAGTTTCTGGTTCTGATCCATCTGGTGAGGATGTGGATCCAAATTTAGTGATTCATTGACTGCAAAGCCAGCAAAGAACATTTGGATCATTGATCTAACCCACGGCAAAATACAGGCTGTAGCACATCCCTTAATTTATTTCTGTTCAATTTGTTAAGGGAAAAAACCCAAACACTCAATCTGATGTACAATTACAAGCGAGGGTGAACTTGTCAGAACCATTTCCATATTACTGCAGTGGTGGGGACTCTCGCAAGCGCCTTGCTTTTAGTTTGACTCTTCCCATCCCTTCATCGCGCCTGCATACCCTTGTCTCTTCAGCTGAATAACTCCTTTAGCCAGCATCTCTTCTGCCTTTCGATATTTTGGATAGTGCTCAAGTCATTTCTTCACCTTCTATTTATTAAGCTGGACAGATGGATCGCGTTAGACTGACGGTCTTTCCAGGTGCAGGCACCTTCTTTCTGCGATGGGGATGGAATAGGGTCATCTACCCAAAGTGGTCGCTCCGGTGAAGTCCACCTAATGTGTTTAGAGCCAAATCGCCACCTTGTTTAGTTATCTGCAGCCCAGCCATGTGCCTTTGCTGTCGGAATGTATCTGCTTGGATAACCCTTGCACATAAAATACATTTTTGGGCTCGTTTTGAAATACCAGCCATTAGCTGGTTCTGCTTTGGTCATGGCTTTCTGAAATAGGTATTCAGATGAGGAGAAGAGAAAGCCCTGGTCTTCTCTGTGCCTGCTGTCTCAGTGACACAGGTCCCAGTCCTCATCCATCACCAGCCGGCTCTGCATCCCGCTTCTGAGAGGCGGGCTGGCTCTTTGGTGCTGTCACTAAGCATTTATCGCCATTGAGTAAAGCAGTGCCGCAGGGTGCGGGCGTATCATCAGAGCAGCGCGGCAGGCTGAGGATGGGTGGCTTGCCCCAGGGGGAGGGAAGGAGGGGAGCCCAGGGTCACTTCTCTGCTCCTGAAGGGCACCAAGGAGGCCGTTCCTGCTCTCTCCAGCCTTGTCCCTGAACACTGATCTAGCTTTGGTCTGACCGGGAACCAAGCCATGATATTCTGAGGCATAGTCCTCTGCAGAGCTGTGACTTTATCCTGAGCCATATATTTATTTATTTATTTGTAAGGATATTATTTGAAAATACACATATAAAATCATGAATTTGTATAATATATATAACATATATAAACGCAATAAAATTTGTAAATACATATATATGGCCAGGACTCTATGGTCCCACCCCAGCAGCTTCCCAGCAAGACCAGACTGGCAGGAAAATGGTGGGTTAGGAAGGAAAGAGAGTGAGAAATGCCTTCACCAGGCCCCTCTGGACCCCGCTGGCCCTGCTTGAACAATGCGGAGGTGCTTCAGGTATTGTCATGCTTTTCTTTGGAGTCCGTGTGGTGAAAATCCAGATAGTACAGCCCGTTGCTGGTAAAGGTCACCGAGTAGATTAAATGCCCAGGCAGCCCGGGCAAGCGCATCGTGTCAAGCCTCAGGGCTCGGCAGCCCAGACCCCGCAGAGGCCGGGGAGTCGCGCGGCAGATGGATCAGTCCGTATGCAGCAGAGCTTGCTAAGCCGAGAGCCCTAGAGATGGTTTGGGGCCAGATGTGTCTATTTTTTCCCCTTTCATTTTCCCACCGTGAGGCTGGGGATTTTCTGAGCTAGGCAGGGCAGATGATGTTTCGGCAGGGAAGGGGAGAGCAGCTTGGGAGCAGGCACCCTGCGTGAACCATCCCTTCCTGGTAAAACCTGGCACACGGAGGAGGTCCAGCCCATCTCCTGCTCCCCTCCCAGCCCCGCCAGTGCCCACTGAGATCTCAGCAAGT